TGTTCCCGCCGGCCCGGAGGCGAGTGGAAGGGGTGATTTAGGGGAGTGCTGGGTCAGAGCCACGGTAGGCCTTGAGGAGCTCCCGTAGGGACGGACTGGAAGATGGGAGGAGGGAGCTTCCCGTGAAGGACTGTGGGGGGGCGAGCCCCCGAGAGCGGGCAGCGTTGTGATGCCTGCGGCGGGGAGGAAATGGGAGGGCTCTGCGGTGCCTCCGCTCGACAGGGCTGCGAGCCGCCGTCCTGTGCTACCTGGGGCTCCGGCCTCTGACTCTGGATCTCTGACCCTTAGGAATAAGGCTTGTGTCGTCTCTGTTTCTTTGCTGGAGAGGGAGATCCTTTGCATGTAAGAGAGGAACTACAAAAGCAATAACCGGCGGTTGTGAAGTTTGTCTTGTATCAGGTTAGGAAGATGCAATTAGTAATTGACTTTCTTGAAGGTTCGTGTCACATAAGCTTCTGGGTGTGCTAAAATAAAGCAGTAGGCATAAAACTATGAAATAAACTGTGTTTGCAAACGAATCTTAACGAGTATGCTACTTAATAATCTAATCTTCCAGGATATGTTTCCTGATCAAGTGTTCTTGTCCTTCTCTGTTCTTAGAGGAATGAATCAGTTCCACTCCAGACTGTCTAGGCAGCAGGGAGGAGCTGCTACTGAGGTTGTAACAGGAGTTAAGTTTTCTTGTCTCTGGAAACACTAACACCTAAGCTTTATAAACTCGTTCTTATGCATGGATACCCTTTGTGTCTAAAGAAGAGATGTCCCAGAGCAAACGGATGATGTAGCCACTTACAATTATGTTATTTCTTAAATTCTGCAACAAATAGCCTTGACAGAAGCCTAAAGTGGCACTCATAATAAATTCAGGTGTTACTATTCAGTCTGCCTTAGTCAATGTAGGCACATTCTATGAAGTAATAAAATTAAAATGTTGCTTTCATATTCAGATTTCTTTAGTAGAGTACTTGAACTTTCTCTCAGGCAAGGTGTGGGTACTTGTTTTGGTGAACTAATGGTGTCCTGCTGATTAGTAGATGCCTTTGCAGATGAGAAAATGTACTTGTTCTGAGTTAGCTGTAGTTTTCAGCCTCAGATGCTGCTAATATTAGAGCGCAACTTGTACTTGCATCTAATTTATCAGTATTACTAGTAAGTTACTAACAGCTAATTCACAATTTCAGACTTTGACAGGTCTCTGTGCTTTGTATAAAGTCCCATAATATGTGTTGTGTAATGAAAACATGACTGTTTTTCTTGAAGGTTCTGATTAAAGATTCCCATGTTAACTTAAAGTGACTCCTCATTTTTAGGTACTCCAGGACTGTTGGATTAGTGTAAACTCAGTTGAGATATAATAGTTTTTGTGGAAGTTGCGTTTTGCGTAACCTTTGGTCTGTATACAGAGCAAGCATAGGATTTAAGTGTGACAGGTAGAAAACAATAGTTGCCAACAAGTTCTAACATATGTAAAATACCTGCCTCTTTGTCATACTTTTCAAAATTATGGTGGTAGAGCAACAATATGACTGTGGCGTGTTGAGATGGGGGATTTTGCTAATGCACTGATTAAGAGAGCTGAAGCATACTATGGCATGCAGAAGTCACTTTATTCCAGATGAGGAACATGCTGCTGACTTTGCTAACAAAAGGCTTACTAGAAAAGCTTTTTGCTAAGTGTTCTGGAGCCTAAAATTTGTCACAGAAAGCTGTACTGAAGCATACTGAGGCCTAGTTGAAACTTTCTGAACATCTGTAGAGCTTCTCGAAGTTGGAGGGAACTGAGTATGTATGAATATCGACTTGCTGGTAGGCTGTTTACTTAGGTGTGGCTTTAACCACTGGGCTTAATAATGCTGGACACCTTACTCAAAGGTTAAGATTCATCTGCTGACGTAAGCAAAAGCAAGTGAAAATGGTGAGCTAGTCTTTATCCTTCTGATGTTTTGGATCCTGTGTCTTACCATTTAGTGTTCATGTCTCCTAATCTTTAGGTTTGGGTAAGCTTTTTATTGAGGACATCTAATGCTTACTGTAGAGATGTACTGGATTGCTTGAATAAATTGGGTATGTGTTTAGAGTTGTGGTCTTGGAGATTCTCAACAACACTTGCATCCTGCTGAGCCTTATGTGCCTCTGGTAAAGCACCAGCATTGGAATCCAGTTAGGTTGTTGTCTCTGTGCTGTGCACAAAGATAAATACCGAACTATTGTTTTGCTCTTTAGTGAAAGGCTATTAAACTCAAATACAAGCTTTCATAATACTCTTTGTTTTGAACTTTTGACAGATCTTGTTTTCTGGAGAGAATAACTAATCTTTCTAAAAGAGTAGCTTCAAAATGACAAATTGGTTGTTCCCCATTATGGCCCTATGGTGTCATTTAACTCAGGCTACCAAAAAGTATGTCTAATTATAGGGATATTTGCTTCTGCATTTTCTAGAAATAAGCTTTCCTCTTTAGCTTTCTGCTTTGTTTTTATGAAAAAGAAATCAAATAGTTGTCTCTCAGATTCCCACATTAAGATGACATAATTATTACCTCGTCGTATCTGAGCAAAAGTTATACTGCGCAGGAAATGCGTTACCCAGTTCAATTAGTTCAAGAGATGTTTTTAATTATAGTTGACTTTTGTCCTATTTTGTTACAAATGAGAGCATCTTCTTTCAATCTCATTGTTTGGTTACTGAAGTCAGCTTTTTAAATTATTATTATTTCACTGTTTCAGTGTTGAAAATACGTAGGGAAGTGCAGGAACAGTTTTTTTTGTGTTTCTCTGCCTGGATTCTGTTGGAAACCAAGTTTGGAACCTAGTTATTCATCATTCCTATTCTTCAAATGGAAACTAAAATACCAAATATAGAGTTATATATTTGATAACTGAGGTCTTAATGGATCAAATTCAAAAAGAACGCTTCCATTTTCTGACTTAATATCAGTCAGGATTGCACAATAGGGCATGGATTTCCATACACACACTCCATGAAGTTCTGGTATGCTATGGTAGAAAGGTTTGTCTGTAGCACAAAAAATTCTTTTGGGGATTGCAGCTTGAGGGTGTGGTTTCAGAAGCAGCTCAAATTGATCTGAGTAGAGGTTGCTGTTGAAAGCTGCAGTTTGAGTCCTTGCTTTCGTTTTCCTTCCCAACTTGGCACCAGGGCTCTTTGCTGTCCGTATCACAGTGTTGATATGGCTGAGAATTCAACTTTAGGGTGAATTTTCAGGTGAATCAGCTTACTGAACCAGATGACTGGCAGTCTAAGGAACATGGGTGAGAATGTGTAGAAGGAAGGTACTCTCCTTTTGAACTCAGCCTAAGCAATTTTTATGTTCCTGTAGAACATAAAAAATAAGATTTTTTTTGGCAGCAAATTAAATATATGGTATTTTAATAGCTGTTTGTAAGGCCATAGATGAGAATTACAGAGTTGTGGAACTGTTTGTGCATATCATAGAATTCTTTAGAAGAGCTTTCTTGGAGTTCCTCCTTAAAACTTAGTCTTGTGACTAAAGTTAATTCTGCTATACATACACAGCACTTCAACTATAGCAGCTTTACTTCTCAAGTATGTTTTTGACTGTCTTGTTCATGAGACAAAGGCAGATGAGGAATATTGACAAAAAAGCTAAAATATGAACCTGGGTGGACACTAATTAAAGATATGTGGGTTGTGATTTTAAGTACATTTAGCAGCATGCTGATAGTGTCGGTGACAATTCCTGCACAGAGCTGCTACCATAAAAAGGCTCAAATGACAGGCTTACCTAGAAAGAGTTAAGGGGCATTCAAGATTTCTGCATTATCTGATTCATTAGTAAGAAAATATTTATTCTGGAATGAAAAAAAGGCAGACAAGTACATTGCTTGCCCAATGGATTTTCTGGCTACATGCAACCAGTCAGAATAAAAGGAAATAATAAAATCATTTGACCTTCTGTATTTTAGGATAGGACTCTGCAGGAATCTAATTAGTCCATGTCACACTAGTGAATCCTGCTTTGGTACAGTTTGTGTTCCACCATGCATTTGAATGCACAGTGGGGGAAAGGGAGCAGACATGAACGAAGCCCAGTAAAGTGTTGAAGAGAACATGGGCAGTGTAGTAGGTAGGCATCTCAAGTGAAAGCCAAAGATTGCATAGGTGGGGCAAGTGGCGTTGGCATCCTGTGTTCTAGAAGTACAGGAGCTGTAACTTGAAGTTGCTTTGTGTCCACAGTACAAATCTTGCTCTCTGTAAGGGAGATCAAAGTTAGCTTTAGACGATTGGGCTCTACGGGAAGTTAGCACACAGATGTGTTACATGAACACAGCAAAGAATTCGGCCGGTACAGTCTAGCTCCTCAGCGACCAATGCCAATAGCCTGAACTGAGACTGAGGAAAAAGATAGGAAAAGACAACCTTGCTTACCTCAGTCTGTAATTCATGAGACACAAAGGAAGAAGTAAACATCCAAATAGCACTGAAATTGGTTTCTGCCTTAGAATGCCTTGCTCAACCAAGGGGTTTTTGTGTTCAATTCAAAGCATTCCAGTCCAGATACCTGACAGTTATGGCAATAACTTCAGAATTAGGAGAAGATATTTCTGTTAAGCTAAATGCTGCTGAAATAGTTTAGATGATTGTGGAGAGGATGTTGATAATACGCTATTTGGTCAAAAGCCTTGGATCCAGCTTAATTTTGGAATAAGCTGATGAGGCTGTGCCATGCAAATATTTCTTCACTGTTTTGAGGAGGGGACAGTAGAGAACCTTACACTGCTTTTATTAATGGATTGTGGGATGAGAAAGAAGTTCACTCATCACCTTGTTATGGAGTTCACCTGTAATGTAGAAATGTAGAAAAACTAACCAAAATTGTGGAAAGATCCAGTTCCAAAAAGTCAAAACAGCACCTGAGTAGTGCTATGTACTGTATTACTGGCTGTGTTGGGAATCAAGTTCCAGAGACACTGTGCCTTCTTTCAACAGGTCTCGTGGTGGTGGTCTTGGTTCCCGCAAACAGAAAGAGCTGCCAACAGAGCCCCCTTTCACAGCATATGTGGGAAATCTACCCTTCAACACCGTTCAAGGAGACATAGATGCCATCTTCAAGGATCTCAGTGTAAGGAGTGTACGACTAGTCAGAGACAAGGAGACAGACAAATTTAAAGGTGAGTGTTCAGAGCTGTTTGAGTTGTAGATGGCTAACTGGTAGGAGAAAATGAGGTACTTCTAAAGACACTTTAATGGGGTTTTCAGTCCCTACTGTTAGCTTGTGGATCTGCATTTGGTTTTTTCTGTTGACTTATGCAGGTTTCTCATTTATTTAACAAATAAACATCTCATTTGAATGGATTTATTGTTACTTCCATCATCTTAAGATACAAACAAACCTGAGTGACAGGAGTCAGTACTTGCCCTGCTATAAAAGCACTTTCTCAAATGTTGTTTGTCTTCTATGAATTGAAACAAAGCTGAAGTGTCTGACCCACCTAAGCTCCATAACCTTAAGTGTTGAATACATACACAAGCATTAGTTCAGAGGACTCGCATTGCTTCAGTTCTGTGGGGTTTTTAGTAGACAGGGAGAAGAAGCAAGTAGATAAGCCATTCAAACAGTAGTTTTAGAGGGTACAGATCCAACTGGAATTGGCCAGTGGAAAGGCAGTATATTTGTAAGTTACTTTTAGGGGAGAAAGAGGTTTAACTCGGGTGACAGAGGGTCTTGGAAAAGGAGTAAGTTCACTAAATGATGTGATGACACAAAATTAGATGGCTGGCCAAGCAGGTACTTCAGCTTCTTGTTTAAAAATAGTGGTAACCAAATGTCTGTATTCAGCTAAATAACTGTCTAAAGGCATAGATCAAATCTAATCTGTAATGAGAACCCTACAGTAAAGGGAATTAATCGGACTCTTAGCATTCACGTAGTGCCCATACAGATTTCTATTTTGGGATTTGTTCCCATCATTAACAGGCATAGGTAAATGCATTCATTGGTAGTGATATTTGGTTTCTGAGTTGTGCACGTCTTGCACTTACCATATCATAGCTCATGTTTGAAAGAGAAGGAAGGCTGTTAGCAGATAGGCAGGAAGAATAGCTTCTTACAAAGACCTTTTAAAGTGCTGTTATTAACTTGTGAGGTTCTTCTTACAGGATTTTGTTACGTAGAGTTCGATGAGGTGGAGTCACTCAAGGAAGCTCTTACGTTTGATGGTGCAGTAAGTATACTTGCAATTAATTTGTGAAATAAAAAGATAAGCACAAGTCTCAAACTCCTTGGAAGCCCACATGGTACATTCTGAAGAGATTCTCCCCTTTATTTAACAGCTTTTGGGTGATCGATCACTCCGAGTGGACATAGCAGAAGGCAGAAAACAGGATAAAGGTGGCTTTGGCTTCAGAAAAGGTGGCGGGCCTGATGACAGAGGTGACTTCCATTTTTCTGAATAGCTTCTTAAATATAATAGTTGTAGTTATGACTTGTGGTGCTAACTAATGCTAAGGCAAGGCATGCAAGTAAATGTGAAAATCACGTAGGAAGGAGAAATTTTATGTGTGTGTACACATTTCTAACCTAACTGCTGCTGCTCCTGAAATGTGTGGAATAGATGTGCTTTGTGTCCAAAAGCTGAGTATGTTGTTACTCCTAGCCCAGGAAGTGAGACCAATACCCCTAGTAATGTACAGTGTCTTGCAGAGGACAATCTGCCTAACAGTCTGATCTGCTACTATTTTATTACGATGTAAGAAAAGTGAGTAAGTTACGTAAGCACAAGTAGACAAATACTTATTTTGGACTATCTCCTGTTCCAATGTACAAACAGGCTTTGCTGTAGTTGAAGCTTAACTGAACTAGACTCACTAAAGGGTTCCATTGCATGTGTATTAGAGAAACTTTTCTGACCACTTGTTCTTGGTTAAATTAAACTGACCTTTTGTTCCTATGCAATGGAACTTGGTAGTACCGAAACAAAAGGATTTTCCAGCAGCATGACTTTGGATATTGAAGGACTGAAACTTTGGTTTGGTATCCCCTTGATCAGCCTTTCCCACAGCTTCGGACCTGAACACAATTGTGGCTTTTTTCCTAGGAATGGGAGGAGGTTCCCGAGAATCCAGAGGAGGTGGATGGGATTCCAGAGATGACTTCAATTCTGGTATCAGTATTAACACTTATACAGATAGGCAGCCTAAAAGGCACCGAACTGTTCTCATTTTCATGTCAGCTACATTTGTCCCCATTACTGTTTTGATTGAGTCTACTGTGTGCCAACTTTGGACGTCCTACAGCTGTGGGATTCTTCAGGGGGAATCTTCCGTTGACTTATAACAGAGGAAAGAGTCTCGATTCTAAATTTTATGAAACAATCCTCAATGACAGCATGTTTGTTCAGACGGTGTCTAGGCTTTAAGCATTTCTCAGACATGAGGCCAAGTACACTTCTGAATAGTAGCAGAAACAGACGGATCGTGGAAAAGCTGATATTGTATTCTTTCAGAGCAGAGGCTTTCACCTTCTTAAGGAGATGTGACATCATTATATGTGTATCCCTGAAGCAACTGACTTCTCCAAAGATTTATTAGCGTTCCAAAGCACTTACAAGTACAAAATGTTCCTAAACTTTCAGACCTGTTACAGTAATGCAAGTTGCAGCAAATGAGTTGAGCTCACTGAGTGGAAGGTAGTGATGGAGCCACCGGGTTTGCTCTTGACTTCCAGTCAGATTCTAGCTATTAGAATGCAGCGTGACATTAACACAATTTCTTTTGTCCTCTGAAATCGTGGGTTTGGTCCATTTTCTGATGGGGAGATGCTGGCAAGTGCAACTTTGCAATGTCTGGTCTCTGCGTGAGTGGAATGGACAAAGGAGTGGTAACGAAGTGTGCCCTTGGCACTAGCATGAAACTGAAGCATGGGGCTGGAGAGAGGAAGCTTGCTACAGCGCTGCGCTTAACCTGCCTTCGTAGCTAAGCATTCTGGTGTCATAGCTTTATACCTTTTTTGGCAGCTTCTTCAAATGCAGATGCATTTCAGCTTGTTAGATGCTGGATGAGTGATTTGCAAGCCAGAAGTTTAGCATTTAACTTTCAGTTGCTACAGAAGCTTTTCTTCTCAGGTTGTACAGCCTTGCTCTGGATCAAGTTTTTAAAGATGGTTGTTTGGCACTGAAGTAAGCGACACTTCTGCAACTCTGCCAAATACTAAAGTGGAAAGGAAAATCTCAAATGGGAACAAAACAACTTTCTCTTCCAGACGTCTTCTGAAAAACTGAGTATATTCCCTGTAGGTGTGCTCCTAGCCTTAAGTATCCTCCTCCCGTTGAATGCAGGTGATGGGGGCTTGGAGAGATACTCTAGGGTAGTCACTGGTAAAGGCTGGAACTCTGGACAGTGACAGACGGTTCTTGATTTTTATTTTTTTTTTATACATGAACTGAAGAAATGCAGTCACTTTTGTATTAAAAGTCCGAATTGCTTTTTTACCAGCTCTTTCATCAATCTAGTAAATGCTTGGTCAGTTTATAGTACAGCTGAAAAGCCTTGGGGTTTTGCTCTGTTTTTCAAAGAGACTGTTTTATGACAACTGTGTATTTCGCTATTTTCCCATTTACTCTGCTCCTGCAGATTTCATGCAAAGGCTGTAGCCAGTGTGATCTTCTGACTACAGAAGTGCTCAGGGTACCTCTCGTGTTGTCTCTGAATTCAGCTAACACTGTTAACAATCTGAAGTTTCAGCTGAAGCTCGTATTTTAAGCTCTCTTGATGACCCACTCTCCAACACTCCAATAAGCCTCTAGGTGGATAAAGCAGTTTCTGAACTTGGCATAGTGTATTTGGTTTCGAATGGAATCTGTATGACTCTTCTAGAACACGTTAGAGATCTGTGAAGCAATCTGTCTACAGACAAAGGCTTTCAGTGCATCATCTTGGACAGACAGCAGTGACTTGCAAGGTTTTCCAGTCATCCAGATAAAAATCTAGATTAAAAGTGTTGCAAAATGTGCTCTTTAAATTCATTGTCTTCCGTCTTCAGGATTCAAAGATGATGACTTCTTGGGAGGCCGGGGTAGAGGAACCCGCCCTGGAGACCGGCGACCACCAGGTGCTTCAATGGGAAGTGGTGGCACTGGTCGCTTCAGAGATGGGCCTCCCCTTCGTGGATCTTCCATGGACTTCAGAGAGCCAACAGAAGGTAAACTCCTCACATCTTCTGTAATTCAGTCTTCCTTCATGTAGGAGACTCCTGCTTGCTTTGTCAGGTTAAAGTTAGTATCCTTGACAGACAGATCTTAAAACTTTAATGTGTTTTCTTTCAGAGGAAAGAGCACAGCGACCCCGACTTCAGCTCAAACCTCGAACAGTTGCTACTCCGCTCAATCAAGTAGCCAACCCAAACTCTGCTATCTTCGGTGGAGCCAAGCCCCGAGAGGAAGTAGTAAAAGAGCACGACTGAGTTTGGGGTTGAGAGGGAATGGGGAGGCGGGAGAAAAAGCAAGACAGTACAGAGTGGCTAGCTCTGCTGGAATGTCAACCCTGCAGTTTACCATTCCTGCCATCTGGCATTTGTCCTCTTTGAAACCGAAAACACAGAGCTTGTGAATGCATGTCAGCTGTTAACAAGTGGTTTTTAGTACGTTCTTGGCTTTGCTGTATCTAGTGCCTGCTTTGTGCTGAGTTTCCCTCTTCTGTTTCCTTCCAAGCGGCACAGTTGCCAGTAGATAAGGCAGTGTAGCTGCTTCCACCAGTGTGGAGGTCTCTGGACAAAGGTGCTGCTTCAACTTCTTCCTTTCTGGGTTTGTTTTACTTTAGAAGCACAGGTTAGACTTAGTTATTGCCCTGTATTGTTTCCTTTTACTTCCTCAGTGCTCCTCTTCTGACTTGCATGTCTTGTTCTGTATTGCTGTGGCTCTGAAGAGGAAAACTGGAGAGTCCAGATGAGTTGAACAGAGAAATTTACAGTTCTAACCATGTAGTGAGATACCATTTGTGACAATTGGTGATGGAGTTACTGTGTATAGCAGAGCCCTTTGTAACACTAAGGGGGACAGCTGCCCTTTCACACAGGTTGCCAGGAAGTATCAATTTTATAGATGCAAATAAAATTGGCTGACGAGAACCCTGGTGAATAGGTGGTGGAATCAGTACGGATAAAGCATCTGCCAGCAGACTCTTGCTGGTGGCTGTGTATTGACTTCAAAATGGTATGATACTACACCTCTGCGCTCACGGTTAGGGCTGCAAAGACGTGCCTCTTCGAGCACAACTGCTCACTGGCTCTTTCTGCTTACTTTTTTTTGGGTTTTACATGTTTGGTAAATTTTTAAACGAAGTTTCTACAAATAAAATTGACTTTTTTATTTTTGTTTAAGGAGTGCATACTTTGCCATGCAGTATGTAATCACCATTATCCCCTGTGTTTCCTTGCCCAGTGTTGTAGAGTTTTAAGACCTCTGCTTTCAGAATACCTTGAAAATGGGCAAATTAGAAATCATTCTGCTATAGATTCTCTTCATGTAGAAGTTTGGGTAAAAAGCATCTCTAATTGCTGCGTCTCTCTCTGCTTGAAATGTTTCTTGCCAGTGTTGTGTGGCAGGAGGGAGGGGAGGCTGGAGCAGAAGGAGAGAGGTCATTTATGTTTTAAAAAAAACCACAAAAAACACCTGGATCTACAACACTGAAGTGTGGATATGTCCGATGCTTGAGGAAAAACTTGGGCCCCTAATGCTAGTGCTGACCGCTTTCCGATGCCAGAGCCAGCACGCCAGGGTGCTTGCGGGAGGAGTTTGGAAGCATGGCTGCTTCGCTACCCGCAGCATCGCTGCTAGTAGTGGATTTCTTCCCTAAAAAGTTACCTTTGTAATGTCAGAGTCCCAGCAATTTACAGAACTACTCTTTCCTTCCTTCTGCCTGTCACTTAATCTGCTTCTGAGATAAGAACCATTTGTCTAACACTAATCCTTAATTTAAGACAGACATGCATTTGTGTGGTTGTATTCCAAACCAATAATTGACCTATTTACATCTTCAATGTGGAAAAGATTTTAAGAACAAATTCCCATATAAAAACTCACCTCCAGTCAAGACAGTTGACTTTTAAATGTAAAATCAAAAAAAAAAAAAAGGAAAAGAATTCCAAACACTTAACACATTCTGCTTCATAACAAAGTAAATTTATGGATATGGTATTTTGTGAATGATCTTTTAAATAAAAGAAAACATTAAGTAATATCTAACATTGGTCTTTATTTGAGTCTGCTATAGCATCTTCCCCCCCGTCAGTTTTCAAACATTGTATTAATTTGGAAATTTGCTTCCTTAAATTTTATGGGGAAGCAGTACCAGACCCATTCTTACACAAATCGGGGGGGGAAGGAAAAGATGAAGGGGAGGAGTCTAATCCAAACAAGTGCTGGAACATGCAGGGCACAGCGAAGTATAAACGGTGTGCAAGTGGAAGCTGGGCCTAGGTCTTTGTCCTGTGGCTTCTGAATAACTGCAGTTACCTCGCTGAGGCTGCCAGGCAGAAGTTGGAAGCGTTGTAGCTTAGCTGGTCGTGCAGCTCTCCCTGCCATTTCCCACAGGCCGGGTTTGGCTACCCTCATGGCCAGACTCCCTACCCTGCACAGGGCAAAATGCGCATCCTTCCACTTTGAGTAGTGATGGGTTTCATGTGGAGTCCTTGTGGTATGCCACAGTAAATAGATGCACTTGCTGCTGGCTTGCCCAGCTTCTCCCAACTTTTTCAGCTGCCCCCTTCCCCTCTAGGCATAGCTGGTAACTGTGCCCTGTGTCTTTGAAGTGTACACACGCTGCAGGGCAGGTTAAAAGAGGGAGCCATGTTTTTATTGAGGAAACGAGCGCTGACCTTCCTGCTGGTTTTACTGCTTTCCGTAGCATGAAAGGGTGGAAAGCATTCTTGCCTCCCGGTCGCTCCTTCGCTCTCTCTTCAGACCTGCTCTTCAGCAGCTTGAGCCCAGAGAATCCAAGTCCTGCTCTGGAGCCGCTTGCGGAAGCAGCGGGTGTGCAAGCACCCGACTGCCCTGCGTGAGCCCTAACCTGGGGATATACGTCAGGGCAGGGCTTGCTGGGCGGAGACAGCGGCCCGCAGCTGGGGGCCTGCTCGTAGCTCAACTTTCAGACCTGCTGATGGGGGAAGCAATGATTTCATCGCTGCAAGTAACACTGATTTGTGAGAAAGGGAGGGAGATAGGAAATGGCTCGTCTTAGTCCTATAAATGCTTTTCTGTATCTGCTAATATTTGTTTGGTCAAAGGTTTCCTGCTGGTGAATGCAGCCTAATCCAAATATCATTTAATATCTTTTTTTTTTTTTTTAGTAGCTCTTCGTACACAAACATAAGTGCATTGCCTGGTTTCTTTGGAGCGTTCAGCTTCCCATACGGCTTAGGGTCAGACTCCTCCACTCCTTTTTCTTTTCCCCCCTTCAGAAATGTAATCAATTAACATTTCCCAATACAGAAGCATATCAAGCTAGCTTGTGGCAGTGGTTGACAAAACTATATTTAATAGATGGATGTGGCATTTAAGTTTCGTAGGAGGGAGCAAGATTATTTTTTTCCCCTTCCCACCAGCAAAAAGCAGTTAAGGTTTAATCTGTAATGCTTAATTTTACCTGCAGCTTAACGCTGAGCCTGGCATGGCAAAGCCTAGACCGAGGAGGTTACCAGCCGTGGATCATTCACTTTGTGGCTGTTCGTATTCTCACCAAGTTATTTCTAGTAGCTGTGCAGAGCTTTCTTCAAGCTGGAACTTAAAAAATAGGCAAAATTGAAGTCAGGAGTGCAGCAGACAGGTTTTGGAACTGAAATAGAATTGGGGCGTAGCGCTGCTTTGCTGCTGCAGAAGGCGCTTTGTTGTGTTTCTCCTGCTGGGCTGGGGAAGGCTGGGGTGGTGCCTCTGGAGGAGCTGTGGGACAGCGCAGAAGTCAGCAGCAGGCACCTAACATGCTGCAAAACACCATCGACCACCAAAAAACAAACCCCGCTGAGCTCCCAAGCCCAGGAGCAGTCCTGGGAGAGCAAATCCCAGGGCTCTGATGGCAGCAGCCCAGTGCTGGCACGGGCGCATTGCCAACTCACTGGGCCGTCCAAGTCTGTAGCAGTGTCCGAGGGGGCTCTGAGCTTGTGGTCGTGGATGTTGCTCTGATGGCTGAGGAAAGAGGTGGAGGAGCGTTGGCATTTTCAATGATGGGCTGGTGATAGAATCAAGTTAAATTGCCGCCCTCGGGGGTGGCTTGCTTGCCTTCCAAAAGTAGCAACAAGTTGTTAACTGACGGCTGAGATGCCCTGGCACTACTGAACCGGTCTCCAGTGCTGACCATGAATTTCTGAAGTTCTGCTGGGTGTCCAGCGCTGGCTGTGACAGAGAGTGACTGTGGCCAAGACTTGCTGTCCCAGGGCGGTTTTTGATGATGCTGATATTTTTGAACTTGTTTTAGGAATTGTCTTACAGTTTCAGTCCTGACTTTAGCGTGTAGCATAGTGGGAGCATTTGCTGCCTGTAGTATCAGCTGCTGACTCGTCTTCAGAAAAGACGATAATATCTTGAGAATTTTAGAGCAAGTCCTGTGATACTACAGCCCCTCCTTTTCGTAGGAAAGATTTAATAATAAAGCTAGCAAGTTTCGAAAGGCGCATGCAAACCCTTTCATCAGAGCGCTCACCTGTAGCAACTTGCAGAGCAACCCTCGTCCCTCTGACTGCTCTGAACAGGGCTGCTTGGAGGGGCTTCTCCAGGAATCCCCTGGTCACCTGGAGCATATTTTGGACAGAGGCTGCGTGTGTTGAGTCTGCTCCAAGCAGCGCAGTTTGAAGCCAGGCACGGGTCTCTGGTTTTCCACATTCCTTCTCAGAGCATGGAAGTACATCCCGTGGTTACTCATGCTGGCTTGCAGAAAGAACACGGGCAATAAACTGTTAACTGTGAGCATCTTCAAACCGGTGTTAAACGTATGTTTATACATTCTGATGGTTTCTGTGTTTCGCTGCCAGATGAGAGCGAAGGCTCTGAAGGAATGGGGCTGTCCGTGTACCCTGGTGGATTCTAGCACAGAATCCATTACCTTTGTAGTTCTCAAGGGCACTTCTCTGGGCTGGATTCTTGGGATGCAATTTTGTAGCTGATGCTTGTCTTATATATTCAGAAAGGGGGGGTTCTGTGGCTGAAGAGAAGTCCGGTTTCCAGCTGAGATTGGAATTTTCTAATCTGGTGGCTGAACCCCTCCTCTCAAATGCCACTTACCCACTGCGGGATTTCACGGAATCGAGTGTATTTGCAGTGGCAGAGGGCAACCTTTTATCGAGTGCATACATTTTATCTCTATAGTCTGCGATTTATTCTGTTGTTTGTGGTACCACTCACTGTATCCATATTAAACCGAACCGATGTGAAGCATTTCAAAAGGTGTCATCATATTCTTTGACCTTGCTTTCTGAAAGGATTTAACCCTTCCGCGCCAGACACTTGACTCGCAAGCCTGATGCGCACCAGTAATAGCAATATCCTGATGATGCTGCGTGTTCTGGTCTAACTGGAGCTAGAGGTGTACAGCTTGCGCCTATCCTGTGCATTAGGGATTGCAAGGGAGCTTTGCTGGTTCCTGCCCGTGTCTGCTCACTTAAGCTTAGATGGGTGCAAGAAACAGGAGGTGGGGTCCCAGTTGCCCATGCAGTGTCACGGTGTGCGTGTGGTGTCGCTGTTTCTAGGTCATAAGACCATGTTCCTCATCTTGCTGTAGCTGTTTGGGTGACTACATGTAAAGCATTTTATGGTTTCCTTTTCCATAGCTGCAACGACTCTGTTACGTGACATCGCCTGCTCAACGGCAGGTTAATTTTAACATCCGCCTCCCTCATTTCTGTCCCCTTTGCAGCAAAGTGCGTCCAAGGGCTTTAAGGACCTTCAGTGCTGTCACAGGAACAACCTGCTTACCTGTAAGCTCACAAAATCTTGGGAAGAGCTCTAGAGTACTCCAGGGTTGATGTTTTGGGTATGTTATTGCCGGGAACGCTGCCACCACCTTTCCACCCAGTAGGTTTCAGCCAGGTTAGTGCTCAGCAGGGTAGGGATTTGCTTCCTACTCTGAGGTTGTTTTGTTTGTGTCGCCGTGCTCCCAAGATCTGCCTCTTTCTTTTAAATAAACCAAAAATCACTGAGTACCTCTATAAAACCCCTGCAAAATCTGTACTGTAATGATTCTGTATAATTTGTATTGCTGTAATAAAAAAATCAAATAAAATCAAATCAAATAAAAACCTTCTAGGGTTTTGTGTTCAAATTTAAGAATTGTGGTGCCTGAGCAGGATAAGAACAGGAAGAAGCTTTACAGCGCCATAGGGATGTACAGGATTAGTCTTTGCAAACCTTACTTGGCCAAATTTTTGTACAGCACCCAGAAATCCTGGCTGTGAGCTGTCTTTCCACTGGGTGGTAGCAGCCTGTATCTTCAGCTGTAACGGAGCTGCTTTCGGTTTCAGCTGGGTGAGATCAGATTTGCAGTGGGGCGTGCAGCTGGGGCAGGGGAGGAGGAGGCACTTCCCCTTTAGCTGGGGAAATGCTCACACAGCTACAGCCAAGAGGAAAGCCATTTCTTGGCCGGTACAAAAATGTGCTTGCACTACTTTAGCGTGTCAGAAAATTTCCTCCAAGATGTGGCTTTCATTAAAGCTGCTGTGAAAATTTGGCAAAACAAAGACTTGGTGGCTGGGATGAGCCATGCTTGTTTTGGGCCCAAAGCAAGGGGGGCTTAAATGCTGGTCTCCTGCGAAGTAAGCAACACTTGGCTTGCAACGCTCAGGAGGAGAAAGCCTGTTGGAGCTCAGAAACCTTTCCTCTAAGCTTTCAGCATTGGGTGTGTTTCTGCAGAAGGGTCAGGGTTAGCTGATGCGTTGATGTCTAATCGTTGTTTCACTGAGAATTTCTCATCAGCTTTAGTCATAACACCTGGTTCCAGCAAAACCAGCTGGTCTTTGCACAGACCCCACCTTTACGGGAAAGGATGTAAACCAGTCCCCAGGGCATTCAGCCTCCCAGCCCCTACAGGTAAGCTGGGGGGTGGAAGATGGAGCCTGAGGACCTCTCTGAGCCCAAAGAAGATAAAAGCGTGATGCTCCTCTGTCTTTGACCTTTTCTCAGACCAGAAATGGTTTCCAGCTGCAGGTCTAGATGGGGCACAGGGGTTACAGGCAGGAGAGGACAGGCAGAGGGTAGAGCCTGGTATCCCAAGCGGGCTTTGGTGCCTGAGGGGTTATTGGGGGGGTCCTGGCCTCCCGAAGAGCAGAACTCATGGTTATGTTGGTAGGTGCTTGGAGTGGGGTTTCTCATCCTAAACCCCTACATCAAGCCCTCCTCCTGAGAAATATAAAGAAGGGAGATGGTATCTACACAGTGGTGTGTGTTACTGCAGTAATTACCTTCTAATCAAAGTTAGAAATGAAGGTGGGTGGCCTCTCAAGAGGACTGGTGTATTCAAAGGGCATCGCTCTACCCAAGAGCTGTGGTAGCACCTTGGGCACAGCAACAGCTTCTACCTGCTCGAGAGAGGCTGAGCCATCAGCGTGTCGGTCCGGGTCGTAATTGGGGGCCTTTGCTACAGCCCATGGCAACGGTGGCAACGTCCGTGTGGTGGCAGTGAGTCATCTCTGAAGCTGTGTGACCCATCAGAGAACCTGTAAGCAAACACGTGGCACCTTTTTAGCAGCGCCTGTTCCTAATGAAAGATATCTCTGATGTGAGAGGCAAACTGTAATTGCCTCCAGCACATTCAGAGCATCAGTTCTGCTACAGACAACTCTTGTGTAAAGCTTCTGCTGTCAGCTTATGTTTAAATATGTAAAAAAAAAAACTGCTAGAAAGCCCCTAATAAGCTACTTCATAGCTAAGACCCCTGCTAGAAATGCCAGTTTTGTAGCAACTTTTAGCAGTCGTTTCT